CGAGCGTGTGCCTCTGATAATCTGATCATGGATTCAAGCTGTCTGGTTGTTGCGGTGATGACGACTTCCGATGTGCGAGAGTCAATTCCTCTCTTTCGCAAATCTACGTATGCTTTGACTAGGGCATTTGCTGATTCATCATCACCGATTATCGGTTGGAATTTTTTGCGAGCATATTTTATGTATTTCGTCAGGGTCTTAACAGGCTGAAAGAACCGCGCAAATTATATCATTATTCTATTAATATCGATTTCTTGGTCAAGAAAAAAAAAAAAAATTCTTGACAGTTACCAAAATATCTCGTCCCGCTGTGAATGGTGTATCTTCTAGGTAAAGAGAAACCAAATGGTTTGCCAATCTTCGGTCCGCCTGTTCTTCGGAGTTATCAACCACTAGATAAATTAAGTCAAACCTTCAACGAATTTTTATTTTTCGAAAGAATAAAATAAGTTTTGAGCGAAGAAATTTCTAGTATTGCAATTATTTCTAATTGATTATAACTTATTACCGCGACATTAAAGTTGGTGGTAGATTGATATTTTTCACTATGGAAAGTTTGGGATTGTACTTTGAATCTACTGGATTGGCAGAAGCAAGAATTGAGGTTCGGGCGTTGAGCGTCGTAATTATTCCGGCTTTGGCGACCGACACTGTTTGTTGCTCCTGTCGTGTATCGGGTTGAATGTCAGAAAGTTATTGAAAACGGGATAACAACATGAAGTACAGACCATCACTTCGTGAAGTATGGCACGTGTTCCATCTGACATCTTGTCAAATTCGTCGATGCAACACACTCCTCCGTCACTAAGCACCAAGGCGCCGCTATTATCATAATGAAAATATTGTTATAAGTTCTTATCCGTGAAAATAATAGCGCATTATGTTTGCACGTACCTTTCAAGCACCATCTGTTTGGTGTCAGGGTCCCTGGTGACATAAGCCGTAAGACCTACGGCTGAAGACCCTTTGCCTGAAGTATAAATGCTTCGAGGGGCTATTTTATGTACGTACTATAAAAAATTTAAATAATGTATAAATCACGTAAACCGATTCAAATTCGTTGAAGCATGTGATCTCACCTGTAGCATCTGCGATTTCGCGGTGCCAGGATCGCCCACCAGCAAAACATTTATATCCCCTCGGTAACGAGGTGAACCGGATTTTTCAAATTTTTTATTGGTCCCGCCAAACAGTTGTAGAAGGACGCCCTTTTTAATATCTTCCAATCCGAAAATACTAGGAGCTAATTTTTGATAAAACGATGAAAACCAGCATCGAATATAACAATCAAAATATTATTCATACTGATAAAACCTGCCTATAGAGCGCGCTAAATATCCATATAAATCCGGGTTTCTTGACAATTCATCAAAGTAACGAATTTCTTCTTCGGTAAATTCTGGCTTATTCTCATGCTTATTGGAAGTACCGTTAATGTTGCTGTCGTCATCATCTTGGTCGTCATCATTGCTGAACACAGGAGCTTTTTCGGAAATATGAAGATCATCATTTTCATCGTTTTCATCATAGCTGTTAATGTTGAAGTTTACGAATGTATGATGTCACTCATTGTCGATGGCAGTTCAATTCGATGCCTTTCATCTTACCTGAAATTATATTCTGAATGTGTGGTCATGTGATTTCTATCAGATTTAGCGATATGTACTACGTCTAGATAGGTTTTGAACAATGCTTTGATGGCTCGTTTTCGTGGGTGAACTCGAATCGGCGCAGAACGATAAATCGCGGTCAACTCCACCCTAATATATTGAGTTAGTATTATTAACACGACAAGATTATAGAAACAACAATTCGCTGGTTACTCTTACTTGTCGCCAGGTCTTGCCGTGTCCACCAAGTCATCATACAAGCAAAGTGAAACCGAATGTGGAGTCTGCCCGTCGGGAATGCAATCTAAATAGCCGCTGCATTAATATGCGCGAAGCAATGGATGTATCATGTAATTGGGACAATAATAATACAAACCCGGCGTTTCTTGCAATCGACACACCTGTCTGTCTTTAAAAGAGGATCTATTGTGTATTAGCGTCATTGTACTTGACGAATTACAATCGCGCCGACGGCATTTTGATGGCTCGTCAATCTTTCCGCGATCCACCTCGACTTCGACGGAAGAGTCGCAAATTGAACAACGAAAGAATGCTTTGCAGAAGAATACGGGTTTCAAATCAGAGTGTGTTGTAGTAAATGCAGCAGAATAATAGATATACGTACCGGCCGACATTTCAGGAATTATAGGCGAGGTACGAATCAAGAGACCTTTAACCGACACGATTTTGTCGATATCTGTAAAAGTAGTGTGATGAATTGTATCGGCTCACCAATAATGATATGATTATCTTTGTAAAGATCACATAGGGACATACCGGATGGATTTAATTCTCGCATGTTTGTGGATTTTCCCAGGTTGAAAGGTCGTACCTAAAGAATCTTGTAAGATGAATGGATGGGCCCAGGTGAAGGAACATATTTGAACTTGTTCTAAAATCGCGCACCTTTAACATCACCAGTCCATGGGGATCATCAATTTCACAAATTCTCTTGTAAACTGAAGTAAGCACGTCATCAAAAATGGGGATGATTTCTTGTGGATAATTCATGAGTTGATAATATAGCTTTCGCGTGTGTTCGTATGCAAGAAGGTTTTGCATGTCAAGATTCATCTTATAAATCTGAGTTTCCTTGATCTGCCAATTTGGATTTCATTTATTTGTCTGTATCAGTTCATGCTGTGAGCCCTTTCTGAGATCCTTACCTTTTCCATGTAATATATATAAAACGGTTGCCGATCTAATTCTGTCACGGCAAAACCTTCCCTTTCCTTACGGAATTGAAGCTTGAAATTGAGAAGAAATTTTTCAAAATAATCCTTTACTTCTTTTATTTGAACATTTGTGCCCCATATCTGGTCCTTCCTATCTTTTCTTTCTTCTTCTTCCATCATTTCGTTATCGCCCTCGGTGACATTCACATCGGGCTTTTCTTCGAGCATCGAAAGGTTGATATTGCTGTGAATGTCCCCGCGTTTATGCCTAGGGGTTCGCGGAGTTCTTGGCGTGGCCGGTGCAGGACTAAACGTTAAAGGAAATAATAAATTAGCTACATCAATAATAACCGATTTTACGTAAAAATCCATTTTATTCACCTGGAACCTCTAGGCCCTTCATCATCTAACAGAGCTCTCAGAGGGTCAGTAGACGGATCTTGGACAAGGTGTTCCGGGTCTTCATTCAAACTAGGTACCACGCGTCTGTTAAAGCTTAGATGTCTTCTTGTTGGTCCTGCTCGCGGTGTTGCCAAGGAAGTCACCGTCGCGGGAGAAGAACTTAAGCCATTTGACGGAATGGCAAAGTGGCGACGGTGAACGGGTGTATTAAATGATGAACTTACATCGGGCGACGAGATTTGCTGATCAAGTCCTACAACGCTTGACAAGGCAAAACGGGCCTCGTTGATCCTTTGAGAAACAGAAAATCCCTGTGCAGAGGAAGAACCTCCTTGAGCACGAATTTGTCTCGGAGGGGTCTCCGCTCGAAGACTCGAGGTACTTGTGTCCGCTCCTGGACCCGAAGTGCTCATGTCCTGTTGACCCTCCATGATTTCTTCTCTAGGACTCGGGGTATTTATGTCCTGTTGGCTTCCTATGGTTTCCGCCCTAGGACTCGGTGTGTTTTCTTCCTGCTGGTTTTCCATAATTCTAAGCGGATAAGTTTAGGCAATTTACGAAAAGAAGAGGAAAAAAAAAAAAGACGCGTAAGACGCGTAAAAAAATGCCGATCTGCACAAAACCAGCATAGTTGCACTAATGTATCTTCTAAGTTACAGCATGTTCAATAAATTTCAAAGCATAATGTTGATTGCCAATTTTGTAAATTACCAAACACGGGGTGGGATAAAGCCTGCTTATCACGTGACCAATACCAATCATAATGTTATGATTTTAGTACATTCGCGGGTATAACGGCGCTGCATAAAGTATCTCCCTTGAATAGTATCCCCAGGTGTTTTTTCTAATTAACTTTTCGCCTAGATTGATTAGTCCCCGGGGTACCGTATGCAGCGTTCTACAGTAATAACGAACCTTTTTTCTTGGACGGATCTTTGTCACGTGAGGTACCAGGCAATTAACCTTCTCCCAAACATGGTAATCACGACCATAAATATGTTCTCTATCAAGTTATTGATCGCTTTTCTTTTTATACTTTATTTCGATTTCAAAATTGCTTGGAAAACGGGTTAACGTCAATTTTACTACTTGATCAAAACATGTACTCGAGAATTTTTTTATAAAATTGGCAAATGCTACTCCGGTTTCCTTGTTTGTCTTTCGTTAATTGCATTACTCGTAAATTAGCAAGTTACACAAATCAATAAAATTTAACACAAGCTGTAAAGTATTAGAATGCAAGGGGTGACGTAGCTTCGCATTGTATTGGATACATTTCTTTAATCCGAGGAAATTTCATTTGTTTTTGACACGGGTCATATATATTATGCACCGTTAAATCTGGAAAAGTCCTTTTCTCCTTTTCTCTCTCGTTAAATGAATAACAAGATTGGTCGAAAAGATTCGAAAAATAATGCGGAAGAGGAAGAAGAGGTTACATCCGAGAAAATAAAGGGGAAGAACGTGAAACAGGAAAAAAGAGTCGAAGGTGAAGGAAAGAAGGACACGATGGCTGGTAACACCGACTCATCGATAACGGAAACGGCTTTAACGCAGAACGGTGCCGTTGAAGGTAACACCAACCAGTCCAGTGCAGAAGTTTCAGAAAAAGCAGATAAACCACCTGAACCACTTAAACCACAACAGTCGGACAATATACCAGTTTCACCCGAGTCTGAAGCAGACATCGACCTCACTCAAATTATTCCTGCCTCAACCTCAAATTCGTATAAATCCAATACCATGTTTTTCAAACCCGAAAATCACATAGCTTCAGATTCCTATTCCCACACTCTTTACTCAGACACAAATCTTGACCCAAAGAATCTGGCAGAGATCTCGGAAGACGGAATGTTGGCTCTGAGACTTACGGAAACGGAAAGGACAAGTCCGTTAATGAGCCCCAGCCCCACGGAGCCGTTATCACCAAGCGCAAATGCTCCCAACATTATAGCGCCCAAGCAGATTGTCCGAATAGAGAGAGATTATACCAGAGGAGAGTTGTGTCAATTCCAGACGGCTTTCCCGATGGAGATTGATGGGCGGGTAGGTCATTCGGATATTTATTTTTTGGGGGATTGGTGAATCGGCGGGATACAAAATTTTAAAACTTTAGGAATTTATTCCAACATGGGAATCACTTTCATTGAACTTCTTATTTATTTACCAATCATCAATACAGATAACTCCGAGACGTTTTCAACAAACGATAAATACACTAAATGAATTGCTGGTAAAGGCTTTTAGTCCAAGGTACAACTGGTTCGATAATTGTCTCGCGTGTATAACAATATACACGTCGACATTCTGCATACGGTCACATTACGAAAAGGTACTTTAAAAAAAAAAAAAACGAAACCATGTTTCAATATTTTTAGCATACTTATTTGGTTGCTTTTCATATAGATGATCGAAGAGATATGTAATTATTTAGATAGCGAGAACTTGACCTTGTATAACCAGAATGGGCTCAATTTTCGGAATCCGCAAAAATCGGCGTTTTTATTTGTATCCTTATCCCTTCGAAAAATTGTATTTTTACAATGCAAATGTGTATGTTTACTTTCCTTTCTCGCTATTATTAACCTTAACTTACTAACGATGCATTGCTGTTCCTATTGGAATCTGATTTACCCATGCTTTTTTCAGCTCGAACTTGAACTATATTAATTATTATTATCATTCTCTCTGTACTTATCCTCCTCATTTTTCTTTTGTACATCACATAATGTAAATTCATTCATAGAGCTGCAATTCCAAATGTTTGAAACATACTCTTTTTTTTTTTTTTTTTTCTAGGTAAAAATGATTGAGTGATTAATATTAATGTTGGTTTCTTGTGAACTATAAACGGTAGTGCAAATGAAGTACGGGACAAAGGATGTAATTTATTTGGCTTTTACAATGATTAAAAGATAATTAAATAAGAAATTTTAAATTTTAAATGTCATTATAGCGACAATATACAAGTGCCTGATTAACCTAACCTGCAGTCGATTTGTTGCATAAGTAGTAAATTAAATGTGTGACGCATGATGCGCATTATGCATTGTCACATTGTAACCTGAATTTAAGCGTATACTAAATAAATGCTGTTAGGAGTGACGAGAAGGTGAATTCAAGGTTAATGTCGAATCCCTTTCTTTCAACCACTGATCAAAGTAATTTGTTGGATGAGCTGAGCGTTCCTAGCCGAGGAAGTTCAGTACGTCGAGGGAGCGAAGCCCAAGAGCCCCTAGACGACGACACGAACCCAGTGATCGTCACCGCAACTCATTCTGAAACAACTTACTCGTGCACTAACTGCGGAAAGCCAGCGAGTTTCTTGTGTAAAGCGTGTGGAGAAGCTGGTCCGAGGTATTGCTCACCAGAATGTCAAAGTCAAGATTGGGCGAGAAGTCATTCATTGGTTTGCACAGGAACCCATGCGGGGGCTTCTCAGGGAGGATCTGGTGCCGAGGGAAGCTCAAGCGCTGTCAGAAGGACGCACAATAGAATTTATGGTCGAGGCAATGTGGCCCAAGTAATAAATAAGCGGATGAATCAAGACGAACATAGGTCTCAAGGAACACAAGTAAAAAAAAAAAAACAAATTATTAATAATATGAGTCTTATTTATTGGTCCGGCGATGGGAATTCATATGCATATTTCACCAACAGTCGACTTCAAACCACGATCAACCATCTCCAATGTTCGACACAGATCAAGCTAACGAGTTCCGATTTTACATGCAGCAAGTTTACAGAATCATCAAACCTGTCGTTTGTTGCATAGCGTTATCTATACTCTGGGTCAAAGTGTCACTAGGAGCTCCTCAGTTCAGGTGAGGTGATTGATTCGATGAACGCGACTTTCTAATTCGACTTTCTCACAATTTCGTTCACTCGAACGAACGTCGATTTAGTCCCCAATCGGAAGAGAACCTAATTGACTCCTCGAATAATTCTGATTCAAAACAAATCTTTAATTCCTTACTTGTTGCGGGCATTCTTATATCACAGATTATTGTGTTCACCATTATCATCGTCTGCTTGTTTAAATACGGGTGTATTAAAGTTTGTTATTTTATTTTATTTATTTTATTTTTTTCAATCACCATAATGACGACTCCTCACGCAAATACTAACCGAGTCATTCAGATCCTCGTAGGTTTCTTCATGCTTGTGGTGCTCTTGCTCCTCGGGTATATGGGGTACCTTCTCATCCTGTATGTTCCGCTTTACATCCTCTGTAAGACAATGATGCCCTTATTATTACTCTCGTAGGTATTCTGATTGCATTTTTTTTTTTTTTTTTTTTTTCATTCCAGGAGTATTACAACAGTTTTGTCCATACCTTTGGATTATATTACCCTCACCTTTGCATTATGGAATTTTGCTACTGTAGGATTAATATCCGTTTTTTGGAAGGGTCCACTTCTATTGCAACAGATTTATCTCACCGTGATGTCAAGTTTAATGGTAAAAAAATTATTGAATTCAATTGTTCTCATTTCAATTTTTCCGGTTGCCATCCTCCTAAACCGTGATGTTTTTAGGCCTTCTCTTTAACCGGACTTTCGTCGTGGACTACGTGGATCTTGCTAGGCATGCTCGCTATTTGGGGTGAACTTTTATTTAACAATAACAAAAGAATCTCGGATTTGCTAAGTTCGCGTAACTAAATTCATCAAACATTTTTCCGTCAAAAGATCTGATTGCCGTGTTATGTCCGTTTGGGCCTTTACGTATCCTAGTTGAATCCTCGCGCGAGGATCAACGCGAAATTCCGGCGCTATTATACTCTGGTAAGTTGAGTGTGTCGTAGTCGTCTCCCGCGGATCATTCTTAATCAATTTTTTGTTCCATTAGTAAATGCGGTCTGGCTTATGGCCTCACCAAGCATTTCAAGTCAAATACGCAATGGGGAATCGACTGCTTCATTATCAAGCACGCAAGTACGCGTAAGATCTTCGTTCGCATCACTACGTCAATCATTGTCATCAGGAATCTCGTCATTTAAAACAAAGGAAACCACATCCGGCTACACCGGAGAAGACATACCGCTTTCTGAAAATGTCGGGCGTGGTTATGTTAATCGAAGCATTGATTATGAAGCGGAGGGTGAAGGTGGGATTGGAAGCAGTAGTAATCATGACGCTGACGCAAGTAGGTTGCCACCCACAGGGCGTCAATCATCGGGCTACCAGCGACAAATCGACGACGATCCCGCTCAGGCTGACGGAGGTTCAGTAGATGATGAGGAAGGTTTGTCACCTTTGAAACATATTATTAAAGATACACTAATGCATACACGCGGAAACTGCGGAATCAAATCACCCACGTTTTCACATATTCTCCCCAAATTTTTCATTTTCAGAGGAGAGGAATGGGTTGAAATTGGGATTAGGAGATTTCGTATTTTATAGTGTTTTAATAGCGCGAGCTGGTATGCAAAAAAAAAAAAATTCTTTTTTTTTTCTTTAGAGAAAATCACTTTGTGCATTCTGTCGCGATGTTAACAAGTTTCCAAAAACAAAACAACGTAGCCATGTTCGATTGGATAACAACCGTGGCTTGCGTGGTTGCTGTTCTGACGGTAAAATTTTGTTTATTTTTTGAAGAGTTGTTAACCCATTCCTAATTAAATTTTATCATCCTTAATGCTTTAAAGGGTCTAAACACCACCATATTTCTACTCGTGATTTACAAAAAAGCCCTTCCCGCATTACCCATCTCGATTGCTTTTGGGATGCTATTCTATTTCCTGTCACGTTGGATGTTGGCACCATACGCGCAGTTCCTTGGACTCTCTTTGGTTAATGTCTGATTTGATTAAAATCACCCGATGTTATCAGTTTAAAAGGAACTCTTATCATTAGAATGTAATTATTAATTTCTATCGGGTGCCTTTTACGTTTGTAAAATTGTAATATATTAAGTTAATAAGGGTCCCCGTAAATGACAAGTGTATGATAAATTAATTCGGCATCCTTGAACATAATTATATTCGGTGTGGACTCCCATTAACATTGGTAATATCCACCCCGAAATTATATTTCGTCCTGCGTTCCCTTGTCTTCCTTTGTTTCCGCCTCGGTATGTTCGACGGAGGAATCAGATGTTTCGATCATATCTAATCCTGGACGCCCGCGAGATGTTCCATCCAATATTTCCTGAATCTGGAGTAATCTTTTCCTGGCCTCCTCAACGCTAATCCCTCCCATTTCTTGGTAATCCTTCTGCATGTCATCCAAAGTACTTGTATAAACTCGCCGGAAATGGACTGCATCGCCGAATGCCTCTTCGATCTTCGCATCCAAATTATTCAGCGTCACAAAATCCGACGCACTATGATATAAGCTTATCAGATGGTTTAGTCTATCTTGACGTTTCATCGATTGAAGTGCATTATACTTTTCAAATCCAATTTCTCGTTTTCTATCTTTGTACCCATCTGGTATGAAGGGTTCATTTGAAGTCAATGACAAAATTCCAGAGGTTTCCCTTAATTTTTTAAAGTGAGCTTCGCGTTCTGCTCGCATTCTCTCGTTCCACATCCGCTGGTTCTTCAGAAGATCTTGTGGTGTTGCGGAAACGGATGTCTCGTTGGATGTCCCCAGGTCGGTCTTTGTCGTAGACACATTGACACCCGAACCACTATATTCAACGCCAGGTGCAGGATCTTTCGATTCAATGTTAGATGTCGTTGTTGCCAATCCTAGTTCCAATTTATACTCAAATCTTTTTAGCTTAAGTTCATCTTTAAATCTCTTCGTATCATTGTTTTTATAACTTTTTGATGTTTTCGGCGGGTATATTATTGGTACCGTTCTTCTCATGCCATCAATAAAAATGGTTTTCGCACTCGAGGGGTCTCTCGCCTTCTTTTCTGGTGACATTCTGATCTTAGATCCGGGTAGCCGATCTCCCATTTTTATTGGTAAAGGTGGATCAACAAATCCTTCCAAATTGGCGGTGTCTGCAACTTCGTGATCTTGACCTTTTGTCATTTCCCTCTGCTTTTGAGCCTTTCTTTGCAAAGCTTCCTCTCTGCGTCGCGCATTTTCTTTTCTAAATTCCGCGGCCAAGAGTTTTTTATAATCCTTTTTCCTTAATTTTCGTATGAGTGGTGGTGGTGAAAAACTTGACTCTGCGCGTCTCAAGATGACTTTTGCCAACGACAAGGAACTTTGCGGTCCTTTGGTGAACATTCTTCTTTCGAAGTGACTTTTGATCCATTCCACCAGTTATCTTGTGTGCTGTCATCTTAGTCACGTGGCGATAATTTTTTTTTTTTTTTGCCATTCTTATAAATTGTGGGGTGACCCAAAACGCTCTTGCAAATACAATAATGTTATTATCACGGTCACAAAAAACATTATTGCTACAACAAAAATTTTTTCGCTTCAAAATAAGAGAAATTCGACATACCTACTTTTCTCCACCTCAAAAATGCGCGTTCCTAAGCACTAGTTTAAACTCCGTCAGTCGTGTAAATTCCAATAATGGGTTCTCGAAGGCTACCTCAATGTTGAGCTCACAAGCCTCGTGGTTTCGGGTCCATACCGCTCCCGCACGTGGAGTTTCTTCAACTTCACCGTCGGTCGCCTCGTCCGAACTTACGAACATAAGATCACAGACTTTGACTCTAGACAACCCCTTGCTAATTCTTCCGCAGCCTTATCCCCTCCATATGGAGGAGGGGAAGGCACACCCAACTGAATTCTCGGAAAAACTTTCTATTCTACACGCGTGCTTAAAGTTAGGGGACATTGAGCGCGCAGGGAAAATTTGGCAGAATCTACACGACATAGCACCGAACGACATGATTCATCTATTAAATATCAGTGTGCATAATGCATTTCTTGAAGCTCTCGTGGAAACTTCTGAGCCAGCATATTATGAGACGGCTTTAAGGTGGCTGGACGAGTTGGACGGATATGGATTGAAACCTGATATGATGACATTTACCATTTTGATACGGGGATTTTTGAGGTTTATCATTTCGCTCAGATTTCTTCCCAATCTGATTTTTCATCCGGTGGCAACACACCAGCTATGTCTAAAATGTGTTCTTAAGCAAAATCCCTAATCGTCTAATGCTGATAATTGTAGAGTGAATTCGGAAATTAAAGGATTGTCTTTGCTCAAAGCCATGATTTACGAGATGGAACAGAACGGATTCACCATTGAGCAATTGGTGAAAAGTCGTTTGTTGCTTGATGAAGATATTGTGCAATTAATTGAGGTTTGTTTCGATACCTTTCTCTACGCATCATTGTTCCCTCATCCAAAAATTTAATCATTTCGGGAAATCAGTTGTTCGTAAATGAAGAGGATCCCGACCGTGATTCTCATTTCCTTTTGGATAAATTAACGGGGCTTCACAAATCCGAGCGAAACACCGTCACCCCTGTTCAAAGCATTGAACAAATTCCTGTGGTAAATGGTGAATCCGCTTCCGCGGTTCCTGGGTCACCACCGGTTCAAAGTTCTACAAAAGTGGTGAGTGTGAAAATTAAGAAAATTCGCTAATAACTAAGTCTGTATGTATTGAAATTCACATTGGAACTGATCTATGATCAGGCAATTGGAGTAAAACTCATGAAATCTACATTAGGAGCCCTCAAAGAGACTCAGTTATCCGAATATGAACGTCAAATAAGGCTAGAGGAAAATGCATTACACGCCGCAATAGAACGTTGGAAATACGAACACGAGCAAATGCGTAAAGTTGGAAAACAAAGTTCCGGATTCCCGAGCATAAAGAAGTACATGTGGGATTGGCATGAAACTCTGGTTCCTATGATTGAGGATGAGTTGAAGAAGTGCAGGGATCCCAGAGGTGGTAAGGACAAGATCGAATCTGCTTATTATAAATTTTTACTCTTGTCAGGAGATGGTCGAACTCATTACATCCGCATGACGTACCAAAGGACTAGAACGCGCGCAATATGGTCCATTCTTGCAATTGCTAAGCGCAGACAAGCTGTCGGCCATCACCATCATGGAGATGATGCGCCAAAACAGTGCCGGTGGTATCATAGACGGGATGAAAACCACTCGTGGTATAATGGCAATTGGTAAAGCTGTAGAAAGTGAATACAACGTAGAACAAATTAAAAAAAAACAGAACCGTAAACTTGTACAAAATATAATTTTTTTTTCTTATAATTCTTGATGGGATGCTTTTATTCGGATTCACACTGTTTTGGAGAATATCGCAACGAATAACATTTTGTCTCCTCTTGTTCGTGCTGCTAAAATAGATTAGCAGGGACTTGAACATTCAAGAGCTTTTTGCTTCGGGAAAACTATTCAACATGACTATTCGACGCGCCGCGGCGAGAATTGAGAGAGAAGATTTGGATACCACCTGGAAGCCAGAGTGGCCACAAGTTGTTCGAGCCAAGGTGAGCAGAAATCATAATTTTGTGGTTACTCCGGTTAGATCGGGAATGATATTTACCAGACCGATTTACCTGCCATAGATTGGCTCCGTATTGGCTGCGATGCTTATCGAAGTTGCCAAACTTCAAGTTTCCACGATCGATGCCAATGGCAAGAAAATGTAGGTTTGACATGATGTTGATTGATATGTTTATCTGTTTGTCGCTTCTCTTCCTTGCTCAAAATTTCGTTGTTATCAAAATTCGACTTTAGTACGGAAATAGTACCAGCCTTCTTCCATTCTTATGAGTACAGTAGAGGGAAAAAAATCGGTGTGATCAAGCTCAACCCTCAGCTTATAAAGTTGCTTTCGGCAGAATCCATAGGGGAACACTTACATCCTCGCATGTTGCCAATGTTGATTCACCCAAAGCCTTGGTTGACTTACAACAGCGGAGGCTACTTTACATCTCCAAGTATTATCCTTTTTTATTATTACACTCGCCCGTGAACTCCGAAAAACAATGCAATTTAACGAATTTCATTATTGCTACCATCATTTTCATTTTCTCTTTATGCCACCGTCAGCTCTAGTCATGAGGACAAAAGAGTGCCCCGAACAAATTGCATACTTAAAAAAAGCATCCGAGCTGCAATACTTGGAACGCGTGTTTGCAGGTTTGGATGTATTGGGTTCCACATGTTGGACTATAAACAAGAAAGTATACGATGTCGTCATCGAAATATGGAACAGTGGTAAGGGTATGGCCAACATTCCTCCCGTCGATCTCAACTTGGAAATGCCCGAAAAACCTCCGGACTTTGGAACAAACCTTATATCGAAAGTTCATTGGATGAAAACTTGTAAGGACATCACCCAAAAGATCCGTAATAACTATGGTCTTAGATGTTCCGTGAATTACAAGGTGGATATCGCCGGCGCTGTGAGTAGTGATTTTTATTTTTCATTCCTTTGGCAATTTGTGTTTTTTCTTATCTCTT